AAAATACTGAGACAAGATAAATTGTTTTGGAGTCTAGACTTTTTGGAGCAATTGCTTGCTAACAAATTTGGTTGAGGATGCTAAGCAAAAGGCAGAAACGAAGTGCTTGATATTATCAGAAGCTTTCACCTCGAATGGAATATGGATTTTTTGGAGGCTCATGAAGATGACGTCAAAGACAGTTGTGTTTGTTAACTTCTGGGACTTTGGACTCTTCGTCCATTCCTGCTTATCCTTCTCAACCTATGGATGCTCTCCCTATTCCCATGTCAAAATGTAGCTACTAATAAGTCTCTTGACACTTGTGTTCCTACTTCTTCAAAAGCGAGGGTACCCTCAGGAAGCAAAGTTCAAGTTAACTAGGATGATCCAACTTTTGAGAATCTTTAGTTCTTAGTTAATTAAGAAAGCTTATTTTGGTCTCGCAATGGCTTCTTTGTCTCTTCATGTTCAAAAAAAAGACAAAAACAAAAAAAAAACAAGACAAAACAAAACAAATAAAACAAAAAAGGTTGTTGGATAGACCAATCCTCGCATGAACTGCTAAGGATCCAAGAAGTCCAACATTGATTATAGCATAACTTCATTCTTTATTTGTATAAAACTGCTTTTTTTTCTTTTTTTGAAAATTTTATTAGTAAAATATCATTGTTCATGATGTATAAATTCGTTCATTTGGCAGTCTCTTTAAGCTCGTAATGCTTTACTCATTTGTTATTTTAGTTATGCTTTGCATAGATGAATTTATAACAAGCTTATATCAACATCAAAATCTATTGTTCTTGTGCTAATTTCATAGGTCGGCAACACTGCTTTTCAAATGAAACTTTGTTAAATCATCGTAACAACATAAGATGATGTAGATTACTATCCTATCCTCAACCATGGCTTTTTAATACATAAGTACTTCGCCTATTACAATATATCACGATATTTAAAAGTGAAGAGATGTGGCTTCATCCTTCTTAATAATAATTTCCTTTGGGGATAAAAATTAGTCCTCGTGTTTCTTTGATTGGATAAATCTTGCCTTTAGTTGAAATTCCTTGGGGGATAGACCTGGACTTCAGTTGAAATTCTTTTGGAGGGGTTAGACCTTGGTTTCAATTGAAATTCTTTTGATAGGATAGACCTAGCCTTTAACTGGAATTTCTTCGTGGGATTTAGTCTTGCCTTCGACTATCTATGGTAGGAATGACCTTGCCTACTAGGAATAGCCCCGCCTTTTGTCATCAATCCCCATTTTTGGGATCTTATTTAGGTGCAGTATCTGTTTTTCGATTATTTTCGTCGCTCACACTTCTTTTAGTACTTATTAAGTTATATTTACTGGTAGATAGGTTTTTCACCTTATCCTTTACAGCATTAGGCACTTTCTTTTCTAAATAAGGATTTTGAAGCACGCATTTCTTTATCATTTTCTAGCTTGATTACCAGTATGACTTGTTCCTTGAGAACCAAATCCTTTTATTCTGGTGACATCATCTAAGATGTTTTGTCATGAGCGTCCTGAGGTGTCGTCCCTGCATTGGATCAAAGAATTTTGATGGAATATTCATAGAGTTTACTTCCGTAAGATGGCAATGGCCATCGCGAGTTATTTCGGCTCGCATCCCTGACACATCGCATTTGGGAATATTTGATTCCCAACATTATTGTCAAATATAATTGAAAAAAATGGACTTTTTTAGGATTACCTTTTGATCCAAAAATTTTAAATACGGGGTTCCTCGATCTTTGGGAGTGTGTACCGCGTACACCCTTCATGAATTTTATAATAGGGACTTTTAACGTAATTAAAACATATTATACTTATGACAAAAATGTGACATCAATATAACTGTCTTTAATTCAAAAACCCATTCCATTCGTGGCTTTTGCGAAACTCAATCTTACGTTCACATTCAGCATACATGAACAAAAACTAACATGTATCAGTTGTACCTAGTAATCACTCGTGGTATAATAAATTCATCCAGTTTGTGCACTATTTATGCATCCAACAAAACACTAAATATAGAAAATTTATGATGTGCTCGAAATATGTTTGAACAATGTATTCAAGTGTACTTCGTCCAATCATGTACCGTGCATAATCCTTCATTTTTAGCTCACTAATGCAATCTCCCTCTCCCTCTCCCTCTCCCTCTCCCTCTTTTACTTCAATTAATTCAAAGATATTCAAACTTAACAACAAAGTCATCGGTAAACGATCATACATCTCAATGTGAAATCATACAATTAACTCAGAGTACATGTTGCCCGCATTATATAGTCGATAAACTTGTATATCTATCTCGTGTGTAAAGTTATGCACACTACACGTGTCCAACTAATAGTATATCACGCATATTCGTATATAAAGATTTTAATAGATGTCAAATAATTATTTCCACTTTCAATGGAACTTGTTGACACACAAAAAATTCAGCCCAAGTCGAATAGCCCAAGGAATGAAGCTCAATTGGAAGATCCCCAAAATCAAATAGCCCAAAAAACGACCCAATCAGGCAATGCAGGATAAAGGTCCAAATAGGGAAGCCCATGAACGCGATAATACCATCGCCCAATGTTACAAGTTGCCCAAAATGTGAGCGAATGGATTGCCATGCAGTCGCCTAGAATTGTGTCCCTGTTCTCGCCCAAACCTTCGAGTCGCCCAAGATCTTAGCAAATGTAAGATGTTGTGGTTACCCAAAGGTGCGGTTAATGAAGAGTTATTAAGTAGCCCTATCACGTTCCACGATTCCAGGAATTCAATTAAAGATAGTTGAACGACAAAAAGTAATGGCAGCATTTAAAGAAGGCAGTTCCATGACAAGTTGGCTACTACGAGGAAAGTAGGCAGTTATATATCGATCAAGCAGTTTTTAAGCGGTTGATCAAGAAGAGATCATTCAGGGAGTATAAAAGGAAGAAAAGACATAGAGCAAAGGATCCCGAATCAAACACTCTCAAACAGAGAATATGTAACTTTAAATTTTTTAGTTTAGATTTAAACACTTCTTTTCAGTAACTCGTGTGCTTGCGCCCCTTGGAGGCATTCTGTTTTTATTTTCCAATTGTAAAGTCATCGCCAATAAAAACACCCCTTTTTGGGACTTTGTCTCAAAAGGTTTGTTCCTTACACAATCGTCTGATCTCTTTTTAATTGTTAGCGACTAACCCGCGCGAAACAGAACTATTTCTCAAATAAGATTATATGTAAAATAAACAAAAAATTGAATGAGTACAATGATACATCCAGGTCATCGTACAAGACAAAATTACTCGTTATTCTCTCCGAGGAGAAAGTATAAAATGTATAAATATGGAGTATTTTACAGACAGGAGTTGGTAATAAATAGGGTGATAGCTGTTAGAATGCATGAAGCCAACATCACACGCGTTACTTCTCGAAAAGATCCCTTTTCTTTGTGTGATGAAATGAGCGCCCACCGTCTGATGGAAAACAGCAGCACTTTTTCTGTTTTTAATAAAAACCATCAAATTCCATCATCTTTTGTTCGCCCCGGTTTGATTAGATAAAAATCAAAATTTCATTATATATTTTTAAAAGTTGATGAAATGTGATTCTACAAAGTTCCTCTTTGGTGGGATTAAAATCAAAATTTCAGTAAATTTTGATAAAATATGATAAAATGTGTTATTGAAAAACAATGAATTCCATGTAATATGCAGTAAAAATTAATTATTGACCTATCGAATAGAACAAAATATGATTGAAATAATTGTTTGATGTAAATTTTTAGTTGAACGAAACAGTTAATATCGATGACAAAATATATAGCATACTTAGCCCATGTTAGATTCTCATTAAATTACATTTCATTACATTCTATTTTTTTCTTCTATTTTCAATAACTCAATCTTCCATAAAATAATATTACACGTAAGCCCCTCAGGAGCATAGCTCAGTGGTACAAAGGACAGGAGTGAGATTATCTCACGCCTTGCTGGCAGCCACAGTATGGGGGTTCAATTCCTGAGAAATAGAATTGGACTCTTTGTAGGCATAGTGTATAAACAGCTCTTGTTCCCTGACCTATTGGGACACATCCCACGATTTACTTCCCTCACAAAGTTCTAGAGGTGGGATGGTAGGTGTCCTCAAAATTGGGATTCAACATTTATATTACAAGTAAATTGAAAATTTTTTCTTCTTTTTCAACTACTCATTTTTTTATAAAAAAACATTATTCCATTCATTTTCATTTAAAAAAGAAGGCTAAAGAGGGGCTTAGGAGGAAAGCGCAGCTTAACCTCTATCAATGCAAAAATTAATGGAAATAAATTTATTTTGTTTAGAGACAGTGTAACAATGTAAAAATTTACTGTACACTTCATTTGCCGTAGCTAGCCGTCATCTAAAAACATCTCTGTGTCTCTTGATCACTTCAACTCGTTATTCTAAGAGAATTTATAATTCTATATTATAATAGAAGCTCTCTTCATGGCGCTTTTTCTCATCGGTTATGTTTCTCAGTCAAATCAAAATAAACCCTCAATATATATACTCTTTTTGGTAAATAATTACTTTTAAAATTCATTTTCAACTATACATTTTTTTAAATATATGATATTTGACATGTAATGTCAATTTTTCCTACTGTTTTAATTCCATATATTTTTCAAAAGTTTACCATTTTAACACTTATTTTCCTACTTTAATTGCAGACAAACGAATACTGTGTATTACATAGTATTTTTGACAGTGATAAGTGTAAGCTTGCATGTATTGTTGAAATCTCACATGTCCCCATCTGTAATAACCTTAAACACAACGCTTCCAAGTGTCATTTTGTTTTATGTTGCCTCTTTCTTACTGGTTCATCATTTTTTTAAAACCCGTACACACACCTTCACACCAAATCACAGCTTCTTCCTCACCCCCACACCAACCAACCTCATTCTCCTTCACCTTTCTCTGCAATATTTTTTTTTTAAAAAAAATGATCCAAACTGTGAATCCTTATAGCACAGCAAGAACGGCTGAAATCATGTCTAGGTATAGGCCAATAGCGCCGAAGCCTGAGGCTGGAAAAGAAAATTCAGGAGGGAGTGAAAGTCCCGGCGTGCCTCGGAGTATGAGAAGGACTCCTTATCTGAGGAATGTTTGGAATCACTTGCAGGCGAGGCCCACGAGGACAAGGAAGAGAGGGAGGAGTTCTTTTGCACGACCAGAACAGTCGATGAAAAGGGCCAGGACTTGTCTTAATGCACTGTCGACACCGTATCAGGTAACGAGTTCGCCGGCCAAGAATTTAGCCATTCTTGGATTTGCTCATAATCCAAATGGTATGGCTCAAATTCCTCTTGTACCAAATCTTGTTCCGCTTAAATGTGGACTGGATTCAATTGTGACCACCCCCGCTGAGTCCGTCGCTCTTCCTGTCCTCCGGTGCACCACCGCCCAAAATCCCCAAGGGAAGAAACCCGAAATAGATTTGAACCTGGCTGTGGAAGAGTCTGAGGAGTTGGATTTCATGCCACAATTGAAAGAACCCGTCAATCCTGTCGTTATAACACCACGAGTGGTTCGCCCCATCGGCTCCATCATAAGTGTCAAAAGCATCAGGGAGAATTCAGGGCAACGAGCCACCGATACAGGCAAGCAAGTGTTGAAGAATCCAGTGGAGGTGGAGGAGGAGATGGAGGCCGAGAAGATGCCGGCCGTAGTATCTGATTCGAACAACAAAGTCAGGCTAACAAATTCTGCTTACAAAGAAATGGTGGGTCAGCCCGAATGCTGCTGGCTCGATTTCGTGCCTTCCCGGAACGGCGGTGGTGGTGCATGCAAGAGAATCGGTGGAGAGGTTGCGCTAAGACTCGAGGATTCGAGTTTGTCTCTGTCGTTGAATGGTTTCAATTGCTGGGTGAAAATTGAGTGGGCAAGCAATGGAAAGAGGAGTTGTGTGCATGCTTTTTGTGAAGCTATGAAATTGGGATGTGAAGCAAAGGATTACCAGTTCTTATGGAGGTTCCATAAGAGTGAAGCCTCAAAATCTGGCTCCAATATTTGAACCAGTAAATGTAGAAACAGCCAGAAAAGATTATTGAAGTATATTATAGTTCTCTAAAGATATATATACTCATGGAAGCCTGCTATATATATTTGAGAGAGACAAAATAAAAAAAATAAAAGTTTTATGATCAGTGTGTTTTGCTTACACAAGAAAATGTAAGTATTAGAAGATATAAATATCTTGTTTTCTCCTTGAAAAGTGATTTCCTCTCATCTCGAGCGCGATGCAATGTCCTCCATGTTAAACTGGTGCTTACTGTTGCATCAGGAGCTAGGTGCTGAAGTATGTTGCATTAGGAGCTAGGTTAATGATGGCAGGAAAACGTTGCTATATTCGATATTTAGGGCAAAAAAAATGGTTGTTATATATTTAGGGTCTCACCCTTGAAAAGTTCATTTTAAAGTATAAATCTTTTATTGCACGAAAAGAAAAGAATCATTAAAAGAAATATGATTTGTTTAACAAATTGAAAAAATTTAATGATTTTCACCCATTAAAGACATTACAAAAAATAAAAAATAAATGGAACAATAAACTGGAAAGGGATTCACCGTCGTTTACTGCATGTCTCCATCTTAATGGAGTATGGGACAGGACAAGGAGAGATGGAATGATGTCTCGATCTCATTCCTTCCCTTTGTCTTAATCGAGTATGGGGCAGGACAAGGAGATAAAAATACACGATGGGACTAGAGATGGAATGATGTCCCTATCTCGTTCCTCCTCGTTGCCATCCTTAAGTTAGGTGCTAAAATATACGTTGAGCAAAAGTGGGTATATATTTAGAATGCTTCCTAAAAGCAGTCATGGTATGATTAAATGTATAAACTGAAACAATGAAAGTTTAGAAAAGATACATGTCTTCTTAACATTTGATATAATTGCATTACAACAATTGATATAGGCTTATAAGACGAAGATAGGTAAATGGACCTTTTATGAGCTTCTGAAAATTTTTTTAGGCCATGATCAGTCCCTCAATTGGTCTTATACATATGACCCTCTTATCACAAAAAAATTGTAACATTTGCACCTTCGGGTAGCGGCTGCGGGTTCCCTTGTCAACAAAAAAAAAAAATTGTAACAGATATGAACAAATATTAGTAAGTTATAGACCCCAATTTACTGAATCTAATACTTCATGAATATAAAGAAATTTCACATATTCAATGTATTCAAGGTGAAAAATGGGTTAATCCTTGTTAAACTTGGATAAAGTAGATTCTGAAATTTTCAATTCAAGATAAATTAATGAAAGAGAGGTATCTCTTTATGATCTATTATAACTTTTAAATAATGATTATTCGAAAAAAAAAATACATATGTTTGAATAGTCCCACTGAATGGTGATTCGACATTGAATCTAGGAAAAATTGCAACCGAGGTACCAAACCTTTCGTTTATTAGCAGACTTTACCCAAACCTTTAGTTTGTGCCACCCACGATACCCAAGCTTTCAAAAACTCGCAGTGAAAGTCCAAATGGATGGAAACTGTTAATTTGACCGTTGTTGACCAAAGATTTAATATTGACCATTATTTTGACTAATTTTAAAAAGATAAAATGGTAACTTTATATTTTTCAACAAGAAAAATAATTACAATATATTAATAATTAAATCAAAACATAAAAATACTATTCATCATCTTTTCCATTCACCCCTTCCCACCCACCACACACCACAAAACCATCTACACAAGCAACACCCACAGATTCTTTATCTCCTCCAACCCATCCCCTTCCCTCACCTCACCCAACCACATTTAGCAATAGCACCACCAACCCTAGCCACACAGTCCACCAACTCTGGTCGCAGACCACATTTAGCCACCACACACCACCAAACCATCCACACAAGCACCACCCACATTTGTCTACCCTGCTATAGTCCTCCACGCGTAAGTTTAATCAAGAGCCCTAAAGAGAAAAAATATCAAATTAGGAGAAGGAGATGAAGATTCGGTGTGCATAATGCTCTGTCCATTTTTCTATTTCAAATCTCGTACATGAATACTCATCTTTAGCACCAAGAAACATTGTTGAGTTCTTTGCTCAGATCTCCAGCGATGCTGCTGGCTGTGGAATGGACATGGAAGTCGAGTTTTCACAACAGTGTAATTCAGCTCTGGGATTGTCGAATGGGCACTGCAATTGAGCTTTGACGTCATTGGTCGTGCCAGAGGTCCATCAACTGCATTTGAAAATGAGGATTTTGGGTTTGAGTTCGAAGTGAAGCAGCAACGATTGCAGTGAATGGGGAGATGAAATTTTGGATTCGAATGTGATTTTTCGTTTGGGTTCTATTTGGTAGTGAAGATGGTGGCTGTAGATTTGGTGGTGGTGGCAGTCGTAGTAGTGATGGTGGTGGACGGTGGTGGTTTTAGGTTAGGCGTGAGTTTGAATTAGGATCACTGTAGCATGTAGGATTTTTTATTTTTATTTTTATTTTTTGATTTAATATTTTAATTCTTTAATGTGAGAAAATTGTATAGTTGCCATTTTGCCCTTTAGTCAAAATTGATCAAACTTTGACATTTTTGGTCAACTAACGGTCAAATTAACAGTTTCCATCCATTTGGACTTCCACTGTGAGTTTTTGAAAGGCTTGGTATCGTGGATGTCACAAACTAAAGGTTTGGGTAAAGTCTACTAATAAACAAAAAGTTTGGTTCCTCGGCTGCAATTTTCCCTTGAATCTATATCTTGATAACAAGTAAAATTTAAGGCAGAATTATGATAATGAAACGATCCAGTAGAAGGCATTAAACGTGTAAAAACTACCGAATGGATTATGGTATAATAGAGTAGTAATTCACTAATGTTCACCAAATCTAGTTTTGCCCGTTAAATGTAGTAACAAAAAAAAAAAAAAAGGTTTATTTGTATTCCGGAAAAATTCCACCCACTTTACCATTCAATTTTCTTGCTCCACTATTTGTCAAACCCCATGGGTAGTAGGCCAAATTTGAGTTGGATCATTTGGCCACACTTCATAATTAGAAAATTGAGCACCGTAGAAAGTTGACTAAAATGGGTTAGAGGGAGCTTGCATACAAAATATATGTGGTCCCTTCATGTGAGGGAGTGTAAAAAATTATGTACGCAAGAAATGTACGAGTAAACTAATTCCATCTTTTATACCAAAAAAATAAAATAATAATAATAATAACACATTACTTTAATTATAATTCTTTCATGATATGAAAAATGGAATCTTGATTTTTATGTTTTATTTTAAGTATCGGTTTGACTAATGAAAGTAATAATAGAAATTTCAAAATAAATTTATATACATGTCCAAATATTCTTACATTACAAAAGGAAACAAGCTTAAAATTGCCAACAGAAACACAAACAATCAAAATTATTAGCTTATAAGCAAAATAAATATATAAATAAAATTAATTAATTAACATATGATTCTTGGAGTGATTTGTTTGGTTGTGAGACCAATGTACTCTTGAGATCCAATAAATTAAAGAGAAAAAGATTAGCTAACTTTTACAACTAAATATTAAAGCACTGAAATTACAATACAGTAAGGGAAAAGTAAGAACTAGATTAGATGTTGATAGTGATTGGATGAATATAGTGATATTTAGAAAATTTTAAATTGTATTATAGATGTATTTAGAATGACATGAATATATAAAATTTGCGTGGATATATTTAAATGAATGAATTTAATGATGACAATATTGAGATTTGACGTGGATGAAATAGTAATTTTTTAAAATTTTAATAGGGATGGATATAGAATGGGATAAATATATAAAAACTGTGGATGTAAATAACGGTACTGCACATATTTTAATTGCAATGAAAGTCTTTAAATTTTCTTATTTTCACAGTTATATTTCCAATTTATTTTTATTCTAAGTTTTCAGTTAATTAGCACATCTTGTTTCTAAAGACGATTTTCATCTTGAAAATTCATAATGAGAGTACATAAAAAGAAACTTATTTGCTCGTTCATAATCAAATTAAACAACAAATATAGAAGTTTGATAAAATATTTATCTCTGATTTTAAAGAATGCTAAAATATTATTAATAAAGAAATTATTGTTAACATGTGGATTAATTAAAGATTAACGATAAGAATGCGACCGAAAATAAGTTTTGAAATAAAATATGAAGTATAGGCATTACCACCACCACTTAGTTATTCGAGAGTTAATTTAATCAATTGCGATTGAACCTTGGTATAAGTTACTACTTGCTCGGCAAAAGTTAAAAAGCTATTTTATTGCTCATTGAACTTTATTATAGGTTACTATTTGCTAATCGAAAATTTAAAAGGGATACTCATTACTCAACCAAAATTGAAAAAAGTTACTCATCCATTACCCATATCATTTCCATCAGTTCATGTGAACAAAAATCAACATGACAAATGGAAAATCCTACGCAACACTGAAGAATTTTAAAAAATAACAATGTGAACAAAAAATCCATGTGGCCCAAGATAAAAAATTGCCCTGGCGATAGTATAATGTTGTCCACTATGATCGTATGGGCAATTTCTGTTGTTCAAATTTACCATTATTTCTTATATTACAAGAAGAAGGGAAAAACAATGGTGAATTTTAATAATAGAAATTATCCATGCGATCATAGTTGACAACACCATGCAATCGTATAGTAATTTTCATCGTGCGTCACGTAGATTTTTTTTGTCCATGTTATTTTTTTAACTCCATCAGTGTGACGTAGGATTTTTCCTTCTGTCTCGTTGATTTTTGTTCCGTGGATTGATAACAATAATATGGGTGATGGATAGGTAAATTTGTTCAAATTTAGATGATTGACAAGTAACATTTTAAATTTCAGTGAACAAGTAGTAATTTGTAACAAAGTTTAATGCTAGTAACTTTTAAGAATTTTGGTGAGCAAATAGTAACATATAATAAAGTTTCTGACCATTGATTGCAGATCGAACTCAAGTAGTATAGTCACTAAGTTCATACAAGTGCGTTGAACTAAATAATTGAACAA